TTCGATCGTCTTCAAGAGACATTTAACCTTGAAATTCTCGAAGATATATGCAATAGGAATCGTTAATGTCAATTAATGGGCATGATGTCTTTGTAATTCAACCGACAGGATGGATTTTTCATCCGCACCAAGGAAATACATCACGGAAAGTTCGCGCTAAGCCGGGGAGCTAAGCCACTACAATTACCACACAAGGCAACTGATGAGATCCATTTGGACATTCGACATGTACTACACAATACACAAAACAGTCGGTAAACTTGTGTGATGAATTTTATCTGGGATTTGATGTAAAATCATGTGGTGCCAGAACACGACGTCTATGGCGAAATTGCATCAAAACATAAGCCTATTGTTTCTTGTCACGGACTGGTCATCTTGTAATATTTTTCATCCCGGGTTTTCAGTCATATAGCTTCACAATAAAGGCGAGAAATCAACATCCTTCGTGGAATATTTCAGATCAGATCCTTTTCTTTCGAAAATATAAGAGATAATGGAAAATAAACGAATGTCATGAGCCAGAGTAGTGTTACATAAATTATTTTTTTGATTACGTCACAGACATGGCTGTTCGCTCACGCGTCCAGCCGTTCTTCTCGGGAAAACGAAGACCGGACTCGAGAGAGCGGCGGAAATCAAGCCTAATCAGTCTGTCAACAGCTGTTAGTGGGAGAAGCGGGATGATGACTCAAATAACGGGAACTAATAATTAGTTCCTGTTAGTTTTATTGGAGTGCAAAAAATAATTATTATTTTGCTTCTTTTAAATTATTATTATTTATTCTATTATTAGAATGCAATTTTTCATCATCGACCAGTTTGCCATTCAATAATAATGGACACTAACATGTTTTGCTTCCTGCTCACGCCAAGTGGCTAGCTCTGGAGATGCAAGCTGCTCAGGTGTCATTCGAACAAGACGATCCACAGTTATTTCCCCAGACAGCACATGTCGATACAGCACCTGAATGTTAACAAATTTATGTTAGTTTGTTATGCTTGTCTTTCCATTGACAATTAAAAGGTACAATGTTAAGTCGTACTCGGGCCAAACTGGCCCACACTGCCGGAGCTTATCCTAGTTTCTGTAGCAAGAACCATAGTAGGAGTATTGCTACTCCCCTGAATGGGATGCTAGTCCATCGCAGGTTACTCCTCAGCATTTTGTCGCCAGTACCCATTTATACTCCTGGGTGGAGAGAAGCATTGTGAGAGATAAGTGTCTTGACCAAGAATACAACACAGTGACCCCGGCCAGCGCTTGAACTTGGACCGCTCGATCTGGAGTCCAAAGCGCTAACTATGAGGCCACCGCACCTCCTGTCACTCCCGTACTGCCAATATCTTGCCTTATTTCTAGGATCCTTAAGGTTAAACATCAAACTGCGATACTTGTTCTTGTAGCGATGCCCTGTATCTCCAAAGAAAGAGAACATTTCCCCTTCAACATTATGGGAGCACTTGTCGATATCCTCTTCAGTTAGACCAACATCCTGTTGTTCCTTGGATCTGCAAAACAGATCATCCATATTTTTTCCAGTGTGCTGATTTCTATAATATATTATAGCGAACAAAACTCCTGTACAGGGCTGCAAATAACAGTCGGTCATCGGACAATGGCCGACCAAAATTTGCCAATGTCCAATGAAATACCAACTTTGGTCGGACACTAATGTCTGAACAATTTTTTTTTGCCTAAAGACTCAAAAAAATAAAAACTGACTCGTAAAAATACCCAGCCGTATAACACAACTTTCCACTGAATAACCTTTATGTATTACAAACTGAACGCTTCTTTTATGTTTTAGCTTGTTAATGTTAATGATGGATATGGCTACTAAACGTAGAGCCGTAGAAGCGTACAGTTTATAATACAAATAAAGTTATTACTAAAACGTAGAGCCGTAGAAACGTACAGTTTATAATACAAATAAAGTTATTACTAAAACGTAGAGCTGTAGAAGCGTACAATTTATAACACAGATCAAGTTATTACTAAAAGGTAGAGCCATATAAGTGTAATTATAATATAGAATGATAAAGTTATTACTAAAACGTAGAGCTGTAGAAGCGTACAGTTTATAATACAAATAAAGTTATTACTAAAACGTAGAGCCGTAGAAGCGTACAATTTATAATACAGATCAAGTTATTACTAAAAGGTAGAGCCATATAAGTGTAATTATAATATAGAATGATAAAGTTATTACTAAAACGTAGAGCTGTAGAAGCGTACAGTTTATAATACAAATAAAGTTATTACTAAAACGTAGAGCCGTAGAAGCGTACAATTTATAATACAGATCAAGTTATTACTAAAAGGTAGAGCCATATGAGTGTAATTATAATATAGAATGATAAAGTTATTACTAAAACGTAGAGCTGTAGAAGCGTACAGTTTATAATACAAATAAAGTTATTACTAAAACGTAGAGCTGTAGAAGCGTACAGTTTATAATACAGATCAAGTTATTACTAAAACGTAGAGCCGTAGAAGTGTACAGTCTATAATAGAGACTGAGGTCAAGACTAAAATATAGAGGCATAGAAGCAAGCACTTAAGTAAAGTAATGTTAAAGCACATAGTTTATTGCAGATGACAGCCACAGCTATATCACTTTGAGTAGCTGACGAAAGTAACTATGGCAACAATTCTTCAAATAAGTGAAACTGAATGAAGATTAAAACTTTGATTAAGAAGTGAAATAATGAATGAATTATGTAATGGAAACGTAGAGTATGGCTGCTCCCCTTGGGTGGGATGCTACATGTAGTCCAATGCCAGGTTATCCCCCTGCATTTTGTTAGGTTGCCCTAACAGTTCACAGGTACTTGTACCCATATGTACTCCTAAGTGCCCAAGAACACAACACAGTGACCCCGGCCAGGGCTCGAACCAGACCGCTCAATCCAGAGTCCAACGCGCTAACCATTAGGCCACCGCGTCTCCCACAAAACCAGTTGTTACATGGATGTAACAGAATCCCCTGAAATAACAAGACTTCCATGAAGCTCTTTGATTTCTACAAGACCTTGTTGTCAAGATTTCTTTGAGTGATTTTCTGATGTTATCTCTCACAGTCTTCTCACTGTCTTCTCTTTTCTCTTTCTTTTTCTCGTCTTTTCCAACTGAAATTGAAACAACATACAACACATCAAAATCAAATTTATCCTTACATTAACTCATTGACGGCTCACAGATGCCTATTTCTTTTTTTAAATATTTCTGGGCCCAGTTATCTCAACAGTTTACAGCCCAACTGTCTAAAACTTGGTTCACAACATGGCAATTAACATCCGTTTCTACTTCAAGGCAAGTAGTTCAATATTTTCTTTGGGCATGCGCAGAAATCAAAATTTTGAGATTGTTTTTGAACGAGAAAAACACACAGCTGTTCCGGTTTTTCTTTTGTTTTTGCCATTCTTGCTTTCCTTTCTCTCTGACTTTCTTTTGTGGTTTTGTTGGCCTTTCTGTTGCCTTTGTGCACGTTGGACAAGTTTCCACCAAAACGTTGAGGAAAGTGAACTTTTTTGGACAAAAAGTGTCAATGGTAGGGAAGGTCACATTTTTTTGATTTTGGAGGAAAAATCGCTCCCCACTTGACTTTGAAAGAATAACTACAGTCTGCCTAAAGTTTGTGACAGACGCATGATATGACGAGTGAATAAAGATGCACACATGAACTACATGAACTTGTATCTTACACTCTCTGGACTTTTTTGGATTACATCTTTTTGGATTACATTCTGGAGCATTGAACTTTTTTGGGGTCTAGTTTTAGCCTAATAAGACTTTTTTGTGTCTAAAATTTTGGCCTCATACACTAATATATCCCAGTACCCCACACCACCCCCCTTAAAATATAACAAATAAATCAAAACAGAAATTAAGAGACAGAAATTAACCTGATGGTGGCCGAAGCACTTCAAATGAGGGGTGATCTTGCAGCCAATAGAAAATCTCCTCCTGAGAAGGCGCGGCCACACCTGCGATCACCCTCCCAGTGGACCTCTCAATGACTGCTATACCCTCTTTAGGCAATGTAGATTCTGTCTGAGAGGAGACTGGGGCTGGGTAGGAATTCCAAGGGACTGGACCAAGAAGACTTGACTGAATGATAACAAAAACAATAATTATCAATTAACCCTTTCACTCCCAGAGTCAAACCTTGAGTCAATAAATGTGGTTCTAACTTTTAAGTCTGTGGATGAAACCCTAGTGTGTGACCATTCAAATGAAAGCTATTGAGCAGTACTTTCATGTGGTACTGTTTGTTTTTGACAATTTTGCAAATTGAAATTCAAGATTTTTACCCCAGTTTTGAACTTAGTACTCTTGGGAGTGAAAGGGTTAACTGACAATGAAAACTTTACTGAGTAAACAAATGCGCTAAATTCTTCCCCTGCAAAAGAGACTTCTGAGAATCCATCAGTCGAGGGAACAAGTGTTGTTTTTGGCAAATCCTCATTGAGGCAATCAAAATTAATTCAGTCAAAGCTCCATTGAGCGGACACCATCGAGAAGCAGAAAAAGTGTCTGCAACTGGAACTGGCTGCTTATGGGAATGTGTAAAATACAGAGTTTGTATGAGCTAGAGTTCAAACAGGGTTTTGTCAAGGCGGCCATAAGTAGAGCTGTCCGCTTATGAGAGTGTCCGCTCAGAGAGCTCTGGCTGTAGTTTCTGATTGTTATTATCCAATCAAGAACTTACGTGAGCACTCACAAGTACTCTGAATGCAATGGCGCCAGCATAGCACAATAAGGAGTTGTCATGTTGCTTAGCAACTTTGGGGACAAAAACCGTGGGCTCAGTCCTTTCTCAGAGGTGGGATTCCCCATCAACTGGCACTCACTTTCCTGACTGCCATACTGACAACATAGCTCTACAGAGATCTGTGTAGTACCTGTACACTTACAGTATGTCTGATTGGTTGTTCAATTTTTGTGCACAAGTAACAACCAGTCAGAGCCACTACATGGATCGCTGACGTCATCAGTATACATGTGTGGTTCAAAATTTATGACAAGTAAAATGGTACAACAATACTACTGTACATACTGAACTTTCTAATAAGAGATTTATTATCCAACACCGTTATTATTAGCAAGGAATCAAAGGCAAATTTGAGAAATATTTTGGAAAGTCTTGTCAATTCAAGCCCATACTATAATTCATTTCCATCCTCTCGTTAGTCATCCTCACTTCCTAATGGGTTCCTGTCATTTGTCGAGTACTGTTCTACAAAATTAAACCATTATTGTCAGGTTTGTCCATAATGCAATCCATTTCCATCTTCGCCATCGTTAGTCATCCTCACTTCCTAATGGTTCATTGCCATTTGTCGAGTACTGTTCTAAATAATCAGTCATTATGGTTCAGTCGTCCTATGATCTACTGTAGGTTTGTTTTTGAGCTTCTTGAAATAAAATTTATTGTACTAAAATTTAAACGAGTTTCCGTTTTAACAGTTTTCACAATAATGTAGTACATGTACATGTAGCGATCAAAGAAAGTATAATCTTTTTTTTAATTATTATTTTCAATTAAATTGACTTTATTTCATTACAAAGACAAAAACGTTACAGAAATAACAAAAATTACAAATTATTTCATTTATACAATAGATTAGCTACAACAGCCACGCAATAGCTGCTGTGCATTAACTTATAATTAGGTTCTAATATAGTTTAAAATTTAATTAGTGTAATCTTACTGTTGGCGACGTAACACTCTTGGAAGATGAAACTGTGGATTTGGATCCCATTCTCTTCTTCTTCTCCTCTGCAAGAAGTTTTAGTGATTCCTCAGCATGTCTGCAGATAAGAACAAACCCGTAGAAAGCTGGCTTGCATCAAAATAGTATGGTGTACAGTGTACGTACATGTATATTTAAAAAGCTACTTCCATGCGGTGCTATTTTTAATGCTTTACAAGGTGGTTCTAACTTCAAAATCCATGGATGGCACCCTAGTGTGTGACTGCTATTTAGCAGTACTTTCATGTGGTACTGTTTATTTATGTTGTACAAGGTGGTTCTAACTTTAAAGTATGTTCATGAAACCCTAGTGTGTGACCATTCAAATACATGTACAAGCCAATAATAAAATAATAGTATTTACATGTATTTCAGCAATGTTCATGTTTCAATTTTCCCCATGTAGAGATGTTGGAAAATTTGTCAGATATAAAATTATTTACTTTTGGTGTTCCTAAGACATACTCTTATACAGTGCCTCTCTCCACCCAGGAGTATAAATGGGTACTGCCAAATTGTTAGGGCAACCTGGCAAAATGCTGGGGGGGGGGGGGGGGTGGTAACCTGCGATGGTCTAGCATCCCACCCAGGGAAAGTAGCAATAGTCCTAGTTGGCTTTGTTTTACAGAAACCTGGATAAGCTCCGGCAGTGTGGGTCAGTTTGGCCCAAGTGCGGCTTTACTTACCTTTGAACGCACTCTGCACTGCAGTAGAGTGAGTGATAGTCAGCAAGCATAGAGCACCCAACTGTTATACAGTTGGGTTGGGTGGGATAGTTCATGTATGATGCCGGAGTGGGCGTCGTCCTCACCTGTAGCGTAAGACCACAATAAATTAGTGTCACTATTGTTGTGCTTCGAGCTACATGTACATGTATGAGCCTGGGTCTCTGAGACCCAGCGACCTCGGGGCCCAAGGTCTCTGGGTCTCTGGGACCAAGGGTCTTTGGGGCCCAGGGACCTTGGGTCTCTGGAAGCCGAGACCCAGGGTCCCTGGGCTTTTCCTGCGGACAGTTAGAAAATACTGCTAGAAAACTGTCTGTATTGGGGAAATATTGGTTGAGATAATTTTTTTACAAGGTTATGGACCGAGCGAGGTCCATAAACCTGCAAAAAGAGAACTTGACCAATATTCCCCAATATGGGCCAAACAAGCATAGTTCATACTCTTTTAAAACTTAAATGCTGATAAATTAAAGCATCCATTCTCGGAAGTTTTAATTTTAGTGTTTTGTTTTGTTTTTTGTTTGTTTTTGTTTTTGTTTTCTTTTCATTGTGCTCTTTTTGCTGTACTTTTATGTGTGTGTTGTCAATCAATAAAAAAACAATTCCATTCTCGGCAGATGCGTGCGCCAAAGTTAAGCACACACTTGTCACTTTCATAAAAGTTTAACCAATACTTGTCTGCCAGAGATCGCTCAGGGAACCAATCAGAATGTTCCTTTTCATCATGGACCAGTTTGCCATTAAAATAAAATAAAAATAATACTTATGAAATAAAATAAACATGATGCATAAAAATACCTTCTTGGGAATCTTGAAGCCTTTGTGCTCTGGTAACTTTTTCTTCTTTCGTCCTTTGATTGCAGCTTGGCATATAATTTATCAGATTCTTTGGACCTTTTGTAACTGTACTCCTTTAAAAAAAAATAAAGAAACAGTAATTCAAAGATGTTATAAACCCATTACAGGGATAAACGTTCAGTGCTTTACCACGGTTTCCATAGCATGAAGCGACTACAAGTATCGCTACTCCCCTGGATGGGATGCTAGTTCATGCAAATTGTCAGGTTGCCATGACAATTTGCCGGTCCCTGAGTGGAGAGAGGCACTGTTTACAAGAGTCAAGGGTATTGCCCAAGAACACGTCAACAAAGTGACCTCCGCCAGGGCTCCAGCCCGGATTACTCATAGTGGCCTAACTTTCTATACCTCAAGCATTTCATCTCGACTCCTTCTGTGGCTAGAATGCCGACGTTTTCTCGTCTCCTCTCTGTCCCCTGGGATCTTCATCTTTAGCTCCCTTCTGTGTCGATGATGCTCGGGTGTTGGTGATGGCTTCTTCTCTTCCTTTGCATCCACATGTGGAGATGTAGCAGTGATTTGTTCGTTTTCCTTCGCAGTGGTTTCTGATGTTGGCGTAGCCTCCTTATTACTTTCTTCCGTGATTTTCACTGGATTGTTTCACAAG